TTCTGCGTTGAGTGTCTGCCATCTGGTGGTCAGTGCGCATCATAGCGACTGGTCAACCGGTCGTTTGGTCGCTTAAGCTTTAATGTATATAGAATGATGAAGGAATCATGTATGCCCAAAAAAGAGAACTCTGAAAATAAACCAGAGAGTTTCTTTTAATTGGCCAAACATTTGGCTAAATAAATTTTATTTGCAAGTGGCTTACACAGACCTCACTGAGTCTCAGGAAGCGTTGGTTGTCATTTCTATTAGTAGGTAAAAGCTCTTTTTAAAGAGAACACCAAATGGGATAAGTCCAAATTTTACTTTTGTTCCAAAATAATTTAGCTTGGCTTCTGTTATTTATGTTTCCTCCAAGCTTAGATCTTTGAGATTTCAGTCAACAAGAAGCAATTTGGAATAAGAAAATGCATGGTTCTAAGCCTTCAATCTGCTGTCAGCTTGCTGTGTAATCGGACAATTTATAGAAACCAAAAAGTGGGCTGCAGTTTGCTAATCTGTGACAGGATAGCTTCATACTAGATCAGGGTTCTTAACCTGGTATCTGTGGGTAGAACCTGAAATGGAAAAAAATTGCACCTTTATTTTCATTAACTTAGAATTGAAATTTAGCAATTTCTTAAACTATAAACACAAGCCCCACTAGTATTGCAGTGGCAATGACTTTGTCACCAGTACAAATCACTGATATTTTCATCTCCCAGTAAGAGTTGTGGATATCTCAACTTACCATTTATGCTCAGTGCTCCTTCTGAGCAGCAGGAGTTATTGGACCTGCAGCTAGATCTCAAGGCATCAGTAATGAAGCGTATATTCTATTTTATCACAAATTTGTTTTTTTAATTTTGATAAGTCCATTTCAATGGAATTGGTTTCCTTTGTAGTCCTTTTTTATTTTATTTTATGCATTTTAAAACAATATTTGGAGGAGAGGTCCATAGACCTTATTAGTCTTCCCCCCTTTTTATTGAAATATTTGTCTGTTAAAGGAGCCAATACACATGAAGGCTGAGAATCCCTCAACTAAATGACCTTTAAGGCTTTTTTTCCTGCCTTTAAATCTATACTTTGTGCCATTGAGCCCAGAAACTCAGGGAAGGCTATCAACTAAACCTCACATCTTACAAAGTACAGTCACCATCCTACCATGATAGGAATGTAAAAAACAACACTTGAAGAACTTGATATGTCTCTTAGAAGATTAACCTAGGGGTGGGGCCACAACATTAGTAACAAAGAAACAGAATTTCCGGAGGACGAGGCCCAGAAATCAGGATTTTAAAAAGATTCCCAGGTGATTCTAATGTGCAGCCAAGGTTGAGAACCACTGACCTAGATGGAAACTTAACCTTCCTTCACCTTCTACCAATATGTAGTATCACAGGTCTCTTTTATGCTAAATATTGATGGTCAATGGTCATACTAACTCCTCCAAGCCCTTGTTTCTATCTCTAGGTAATGTATGTGCATTTAAGGTGTGTTAAGATGATTACTTAAGTCCAAAGTGCTCAAACGAGGTTCTAGTAATCTCCTGGCTCCCCTCCTGTTTCATCAAAGCTTTCTTTGCTTATGTACAGAGTCATAAAAACCACTGATCTGAGACTTGACCATATCTGTTTATGTGGGAACAGTCTTTATTTGGGATAATTAAGAAATAATGACTGTTTTTTCTTTTAATTTGCATGACTCACCCAGGTTAAACTCATAAGAAAGTCTTTCATGGAAATGTATAATGATTTGAAAGTCCAGCCTGAGCTCTCTGGTTTGCCATGGACATCGAAAATGAGAATATATCTATGTAGTCTGCCCTTAAATAGTTTTCCAAGATTAAACTTAGAACACTTTGCATTGACCCCAGGGTGGAGTAGTTTTGGGGACAAGGATATTTGCCATCATCCTTAAATTTTGGGCGGGAGCCTTTTAAGTGATGGTTCTCCATCAGCATTAAAATGACTATTTTAGTTGTCCAGAATTTCCTCTTAATTACTAAATTTCAGCTACAAACAATGAAGTTATTTTCTTTGGATAGTCTCTATTTGTATATAAACAATGAATCTTAGAACAGACTGATCCTATATAATAATATGCAAATCGACCGAACAGTGAAACAACTGTTTGCTATGGTGCACACTGACCACCAGCAGGCGCTCAACACAGGAGCTGCCCCCTGGTGGTCAGTGCACTCCCACAGGGGGAGCACTGCTCAGCCAGAAGCCAGGCTCACGGCTGGTGAGTGCAGCGGCAGTGGTGGGAGCCTCTCCACTGGACTGTGAGAGGGATGTAAGTCAGCAGGCAGACATCCCCTGAGGGATCTTGGACTGTGGGAGTGTGCAGGCAGGGCCGAGGGACTCCCCCCCCTCCACCCCCCCAGTGCACGGATTTCATGTACTGGGCCTCTAGTTGTTAATAATTGACTTCAAACTGAAAACAATCCAAAAACGTACCAACTGTAGAATAGATCAATTTTGATACAATTGAATATTATAGAATAATAACAATAAACTAAAATGCAACAAAGGAACAAGTTGGAGATGCCTACAAAAACATAAATGAATAATGTTGAGTAAAAAAGCTGGACACAAAATAATATACGCAATGTAGTTATAGATTTAAAATTCAAAAAAAGGTAAAAATAAGCCCTTCTGTTTAGAGATGCATACAGAGGCAGGACATTTATTTTAAAAATCAGGGAATTGTGCCCTAGCCAGTTTGGCTCAGTGGATAGAGCATCGGCCTGCAGACTAAAGG